ATTGCTCCAGGGTATTAAGCAGATAAAGTAAATGCATGGTTATAATGAGCAAGGGTACCTCTTCCAAAATTTTGAATTTGTGGCCCCAGGGTCAGTTGCCCTTATATTGGAAAGGGAGGGGGGCTTTATTGATTGTATAGTAAAATGCATTATTTCTTTGAAAATCTTCATCTGTGCTCCTTGGCATTAAGCAAACAAACCAGAAACATCAACAAGTCACCCTTAATGTGTGAAGTGCAAACAAAGGAAGAGTAGCATTCAATTGTGACATCATAAGACACCTCTGTTGATGTTTGAATCTATAGCTTCTCCATTTCTCTATATACGAGTTTAAAAATTCGCCATGGCAGATTAGAAATAATTCTCTTGTTGTTGGAATCGTTAAAGAATATATACATCTTAGCACTTCAGGCTTGGTTTTTATTTCTGTAGAAAATCTCTTGACTATTGAGTATTGAACAGATAATACTTGTTTGTAATTAGCTCACATAAGCCGAAAGCTCAATTTAATGAGCTTTTCTAATCAGAATTTTTCCATTGTCTGTCGTTGTTGTAAACTTTGTACAATTTCATCTTCTCTAGAACCACTCGGCCAATTTCAACCAAACTTGGCAGAGAGTATCGATTGGTAAAGGGGATTCAAGTTTGTTCAAATGAAGGGTCACTCCCTCTTCCAAGGGGAGATAATTGAGAAATAAAGAAAATTGAGTGGGGTCATTGAAAAATCTTCTTCGCAAGAACCACTGGGCCAGAAAACTTATGTGAAAGCTTCCTGACATAGTGTAGATTCAAGTTGACACAAAGCATGACCCTGGGGGTAGGGTGTGGCCACTATGGGCAATAAAAGTTTTACATGGGTATATCATGTATATTTAGGAAAATCTTCTTCTCAAGAACAGTGAAGCCATGATCAGTCACATTTATATGGAAGCATTCATAGGTTGTGTAGATTCATGTTTGTTCAAATCATGACTGCCAGGGAAGGGTGTGGCCATTATGGGCGATAAAAGTTTTAATAGGGTATATATAGGAAAAATCTTTTAAAAATCTTCTTCTCAAGAACTGCAAAGCCATGACCAGTCATATTTATGTGGAAGAATATGTAGATTGTGTAGATTCAGATTTGTTCAAATCTTGACTCCCAGAGGTAGGATGTGGCCACTATGGGCGATCAAAGATTTACATGGATATAAATAGGGAATATCGATATCCTTAAAAGAATAGAAAAGACTTGACTATTCATACTTATATGGAAGCATTCTCAGGTAGTTTAGATTCAAGTTTGTTCAGATCATGACTCCAGGGGATATGATAGGGCTACAATATTGGGATTCAAGTTTTCCATATATAGGAATATAAGAAATCTTATAAAAACCTGCACCATGAGCAATTGAAGTTTTACATAGAAAAAAATCTGTAAAAATCTTCTTCTTGAGAATGGCAATGCCATGATCAGTCATATTATATGGAAGCATCTGCAGGTTACCTGGTATTGTATATTCAAGTTTGTTCAAATCATGACCCCTGTGGGTAGGGTGTGGCCACAATGAGCGATGATCAAAGTTTTGCATAGAAATACATAGAAAAAAATCCTTAAAATCTTTTCCTCTGGAAGAGCACAGGACTTCATGATTAGTCATATTTATAAAGAAGCATCCTCAGATAGTGTAGATTCAAGTTTGTTCAAATCAAGACCCCCTTGGATAAGATGGGGGGTACAACTGGTGATGAAATTTTACATGGAAATATATAGGAAAAAGAATCTGCCGATAAACAAGAAGGGCCACAGTTACTCAGGCAAGCGTTTTGGCCCATGGACCTCTTGTTTTGTATGAAATATTCAAGTTCTGTTTTATTTACAATTTAGGAAAAAAGCTTTAACAGAATGAGAATTCTTTACTTTTAATCGAAGTAGAAAAAAAGATATTAAAATAAACATTTATTTTGCTATTTATTGCAATTAGAGACAAAACGTTTTATTTTCACTAACATTCACAAATTTCGCTCATCTGCTCTTATTCTTATTTTAAAAAAAATAATTTCATCAAGTGGCAGCTTATTAACAGAAAAAAAAAATCACTCTGATGGTACAGATCTTGAAGAATCACAAGATATTTTCCTGATATAACTGAAAGTTGTAGGAATTTTAATTGTGCTATTACATGTATCATGTCACCATTGAATGGGGGTCTGCCACATACTAATTAATTTCAGTCACTTTTTTTCTTTGAATGTAGAAAAGGATGAGAAAATGTAAAGATAGTCCTGCCTTAGGTTTTTGTACTCTTGGTTATAAAATTTTACTGCCCAAGTCTCTCTTAATATCGCCAAGTTGTTGACAGTTGTGGCATTTCTCTAAATAAATTGCCAGGAGACAGTTTCCATAGATCGAGAGTTCAACCCCAGGTTGGGGCGGAAGTGGGCATCCTCATAAAAGTGAATTTCTTTGTGCTTTCTATATTAATATTTCTTCACTTCACAGTTATGTTAGTTTAAGAGTTGTTGTAAAATGTGCTTTATAAATAAAATAATTTCATTACAATGTTTATCGGTAATTATCCTCTTATAAAAAACTAATGTCCAAATAATGTATCTCACTTCCATTCTCAATGACCTTGTTGTGTAGGGCGGTTAGAAATTCATTGGCATCAAAAGCAAGTTTTTTTTACTTGCCCTGATGGCTGAGCGGTCTAGTGTGCTGTTCTTCTACTGCTAGGAGACAGTTTCCATAGGTCAAGAGTTCAACCCTGGAAGTGGGTATCCTTATGAAAGTGAATTTCTTTGTGCTTTCTAATTTTATATATATATACCGTAAAATTTGTTTTAACCGCCCCTGCCCATGTAAGCACCCCCTAGGCCTTTTTCAACTGTCGGGCAATAAGGCCCCCCTGTGATTACAAATATCTTTGTAAAAATTAAAACCTCTAATAGGTGAGTCATATCAAAAGTCTGCCATAATTTGATTTTATTGAAAAAGCAGCTGTCAATGCAGATGCTAAAAAGCCAGTGACCTTTTCACAAAAAATCTTACGTTTTTGCGTAAGATTTTAACTTAAGAATCTCTAACGACAAATCTTAAGTGCGTTTCACGAACGCATTCGTAGCAGATTGAACTTAAGATTTTGCTTATGACAAACTTCATCCCTAGCAACGATTTCAATATGCTTTATTATCCTTAAACAAGTGAGTGAAAATAAAAATAAAACTTAGTTTTCAACATTTGTCAGCATAACAAACATTATTGACAACAAATATCGACTGCGATCTTTTGTAAAGCAAGGAAGTTTAAAAATTTGACGTCACAATCACAAGTCTGACGTAAAAGTAGGTCATACGAAAATCTTTAGTGAAAGTTACATCGTAAATATTTTGTAGTGTATTTCACTTGATTTTTCAACAGTGATTGTGAAAAAAATATAAAATATTATTGGAAGTTGCTTTACAAAGTTCAATTTAACGTGTATTTTGGTTTTTGCGGTTATATTTTTCCAATAAAATCAGTTTTAAAATACTTAAGAGAGGGTTGGGGCTCTCATAAAGTTACGACAGATTTTGCACTTACGACTTTCTTAAGAATTTTTGTGAAAATGATTTTTATCATAAGTTTTCACTTAAGATAGAAATATGTCGTAAGATTTTTTGTGAAAAGGGCTACTGGACTTTAATTTATAGTGGGGAATTGTTGTATACAGAGCTGAAAAGCCGCAAGTTTTTTATGCTATTGATTTTGGTAAAATTTTGTGATTTCAAATTTTCCGAAAGTTCTGTGGAATTTTTAAGTATTCACATCTGATTTACACCACTTCTCAAATATATTGTTGCATAGTACTCCTGAAGTTTCTCCTTCACTGCTGTTAATGTTTTAGTGATGAGTCCTCAGAATGTGTCAACTTAAAAGTAGGTCATAGTGACCTACTTTCAGAATTTCAAGGCAATTAAAATCTAAATATTTCAAATAATAAGAGACTTAAAATCATCAAACTTTGTCTGTTGAGGCATGTTGGGGTCTCGAGTATTTTTTACCAAAAAGTAGGTCACCATGACCTACTTTTTGGAATCTCATGGCTATATCTGAATATTTGATAGATTATAAGGAGCTTTGAATCATTGAACTTTGTCAGCTGATGCATCTTGGGTTCTCAGTGTTTTAATCAAATGTAGATCATGATGACCTACTCTTGGAATTGTCTAAATAAACAGGATACTTAGAGACTTCAAAAAGAAGTGATAGGTTATATAATCTATCAATTTATTCAAGGCCCTTGGGCCTCTTGTCTTAAATATACTAAAGTGTAGCAATAATAAATGTTACTACACAAGTAAATTAAATGGATGAAAATGTTTTTCTTGATTATTTAAATTGAGAAAATGAATAAGATGAATACAGATACAGAATTTAGGTGTTTTGGGGTATTAGTCCATCCCTGAACGGTTTGTAAACACCTGTAATGCAAAGATAGTTCATTACATTATAACTGTTATTGATTGCATAATCAACTAGTGTCTAAAATTGCATGAAAGTAAATTTAATAATTATTTACTAAACATTGGAAGGCATACTATCTTTAACACTGTGATCAGATCCTCTCTGTTGATGCACTTTGGAATCTATATACAAACTTTTAGATTTTTTCCTGTTCTGCAGTGTAAGTCATTGGACCTGAGTCTTCTTTTCTTTTCTTTTTTTTTGTTTGTTTTAATTGGTCACTTTTATTCATTTCATACTAAGGCTCATCTGAAATCTGACCATAAATTAACAATAGAGAATCTGTCAATAATGCAATTATTTCAATCAGATTATTTATAGGTGCCAAAATATTTTAAACTGGTTTTGAGCTGGCCATGTTTCAAAACATTAAAGGGAGAAGAAATGATTGCATGATTCCAAAAGTTATGTAGTACACGTTTATGTTTTATTATATTGAATATTCTAAATGCTTTTAAATGTTTATAAAGATTGGTATAGTCTTTTCTGTAATAAGCAATTTTTTTTTTTTTAGGAAGGACCATTTGTATACTGGTCACTGGTTTCAAAAGTAGAAAAATCAACTCATGTGACTGCACAAGTTTGTAAGATATTTAATCATTGTTATTGTACAGTGCTCTGTCAAAAGCTGTCCGATTCATGAAATCTGTTTTGAACCTTAATTCTCTTTCAAGGGAGAGTCAGACATTCAGGGATCGACATTAACGGTTGTCCAATTGCCCAGGACAAGTAAATTCTCAGTTCGGGCAAGTGAAACTGCATGTCTATGTACTTGTCCAATCGGCCAAGTGAATTTTTCTCCTAGAAATATACATATTTATTTAATTTATATTTAAGAAATGAATTTAACTTTAGATGATTCATAAGGACAACTACGACGCTTCACGCTGGCATATTTCATGAAGCGCTACGGCGCTTCATGATAAATATGCTGGCGTGAAGCGTTGTAGTTCATGTACCTCATGAATTTTCAAAAATTAAATTCATTTCTTATATTTACATTGTTTTTTTGACGAGAATCCACAAGTTATGCCATTCAACTGTCATTTTTTAAGCAAAACAGTTTGCACTATTAGTTTTGACATCAAGTACGGTATTATGACGTAATAATGGAGATATTCATGCTCATCTCATGGTAGTTTATGAGAAAATTAATGAACAATCTTCTTATTTGCAAAGAATCTTAGGGAAAAATACTTGGAAATGTAAATATTAATTTATAAATGAAATAATAAATTTGATTTCCGCCAAATACCTGACTGACATTGATTTGCATTCTGAATTCCTTGGTAGCGTTTCTAGATTATACCGTACATTTAAAAAATATTTGTTAATCTGTTTTCTTTCGTGGTAAATATAATGCTCTACATCTACCAACTTTGTTAACTTCTTAGCACTTTCACGATAACTGCAATACTACTGTTTTGCAGGGCAAAGTATTAACTTTTGGTTAAGTTTTTGTTGTAGATAATTAAATGATATATAGTAAACAATTGCTTTTACGTCATATTTCACCAAAAGATATCATTTTGCCCTGCAAAAGAGAAGCACCGCAGTTACTGTGAAACGGCCTATTAGGAATTAATATTATTATATTCAATTACTCACTGAATATAAGTAACACGATGTATCCCGATCAAGATATGTATGTTTCATAGCGACTATCTTCCTTTAGCGTTGCTTCAATTATCTCTGAAAATTGCAATTCACAAAAAGATCCTACAGAAAATCATTCTAAAAAATATTATTTTTATTAAAATTAAAAGGAAATGGAGCATGGCAGTATGTGTTAACAGGTTAAATTTACAAGGACAATGGTACACATTTTATACAAATGCAGCATAGAATTTTTTTCATGTAGCTCAACTTGCCATGTTGACATTAGTGTATTTGGTCACATTTTTTCTTATCATAACATTTACAGTAATAAATAATATTCTTCTTTCCTAATTTTGGGCAACCAAGTTTTGCATTCGGACAAGTCAAAGTTTGAGATAACTTGCCTGAAGGGCAAGTGAATCTGAAAGTTGTTGTCTATCCCTGATATTTCTTGTAAAATACATTAATTCATATAGGAATTGTTTCAACACTTTGAGAATTTGATTGGATATACAAAAATTTAAAATATTTGGATATACAGGTAATCTTTGGTATCTCGATATTAGCAGGAGTGAGAACAGTCAGAAAATGTTGATATATCCAGGGTGTTTGAGAAATCAGAGTTGAGACTTGGTGTCCAAGATTTCAATGCATGACAGATTGAAATATGGAGATAATATAACGAACAGTATTCAAGCTCAAAGTCCATTAAAACAATACCAATTGAGAGCAGAGAAAACAGGAACCTTCAAAAACATCAGAGATGGGATCAGGTGCCATGGAGGAGTGAGCATCCCCTGCAGACTCGCCATGTGCTCCTTGTCATGATCAGTAAATCACAGAAAAATTTGTCAACAATTCAGTGTGTAAATAATGGCCCAACAATTAGTATGAAAAAACATCAGTCAGCATATGACTAAATGATAGATTGTATTTGCTGATAAGGTCATTGTATCAACCATAGAACTTATAAAGTGATGACTTTAAACGAGACTGTTGATATTCTTTTTTCATCAACTTGTTTGTCAAGAACTTACCTTGTTTTAGAAATGTTCATTCGAAGAGCATGCTCTTGCATATCGAATCAACTGAGAGATATACACCCAATATGCGGGTGATAAGGGTATATTGCTGCATAAGTAAGGGAAGTTGATGATTGAAAAGTTAAAGTCATCACATTTATCATAAAGCTATGTCGTTAGATTATCATTAACGTCTTTTTTTAGTAAAATATCCAGATATGAAACAGATGTGTCGGACTCTGTGGTATCTTTTAAATTTCAAGCTCAAGATGAATTTCCTTATTGGCTGCTAGCTTCTACAAGCTTAGTGGCTGCTGTTATTAGGGCCCCGCAAGGATTTGCGGGTGCCCTATAGTAATCACTCTGTCTGTCTGTCCGTCTGTCATTCTTCCGTCTACAAATTTTCGGTTTTTTTTCTAATAACTTTTTTTGTAGTTGACCAATTAAGTTCAAATTTGATATGTTGGTTGAAGAGGCAGTAAGACATATTTTGATGCTTAGTTTGGTTCTCCATGTCATCCAGTTTGGAGCTGGGCTGTTGGGGTAGATTCCTTAACTTGACATTAGAATGAATGTCAGGGCAAAGAGAGATAACTTCTGAGAATGTTCTATTGTAAACAATGAAAGCTGCAACTAGTCCCATGAGATTAATTAACTTTCCTCTTGAAGAAAATCCAAAGCTTTGTCTGTTTCTGTCAAATTGAGATTAATTAACACCTCTGTCTGCAAATGAAGTTTGTTTTGAAGTTAAGGTCATTTCTGAATGATGTTTACATTCTCTGAAATGTGGATTTAAATAATGTTCATACTTTATTTTGGTAAAATACGCAATGACTTATGATTTTATTGAATTCTAAAACAAAATATACATAAAGATATGTTAGTTTTATTTATTTTTTTTTTTTATTTATTTATTTATTTATTTATTTATTTTTGCTGCCATATGTAAATTCAAATTACTATTAATTTTAACAGGTAGTCCGATAATAAACTCATTCAATCATTATACTGAAAAAGTTCTTATTGTAAACTTGGAAGAAAAGGATGAGAGAGCAGTACAATTAATCCCCTAGGATTATAATTATCTTGTCTGGGGCAGAAAATTTTCCAAGCTTATCTTTATTTGTCACTTTAAGATAAATTAACCTTTGTCTGCAACTGATGTTTGTTTTTGAAGTTAAGGTCAAGCCTGGGTGATATCTGCATTCACTGAAGGCTGGCATTTTATAAAACACATGCTTTATTCTTGTTTAAATATACATTTAATTGAGTTATTATAGATATGACGTTTTTTTACTACCTTATGTAAATTAATACAGAATACTCTTTACAGGTTGTTGGATATTTAGGAATTATCTTGAAATTTTATAAATACAGTTGTTATTGCAAATTCTTCTTCATATATTTTTTTTTTTTTAATTTTTGTAATCAATTAAAATTCTCATTTTGTAAGCTTACAAAATATATTTCTACCCCTTGGCGGGGCCCTTGCTGACTGGTCAGTTTCCTAGTTGGCTGCTAGCTTCAGTCTAGTCATCTGAAGGACCGGTCTCCACGTTCCACAGTGGATTCGAACCTGGGACGTAAGGATCTACTCCTGACTCGGTGACTCTAGAGCAAACGCTCTAGCCACTGTCCACGCGGGCGACCTGTTGATAATGGTGTATTAGTACATACCGTATATACTCGCCTATAAGTCGGTTTTTTGGGAGTTAACTTTTGGTCCATAACTCTATGTCCGACTTATAGGCGAGTCACCAAAAGCTTGGTATTTTTCTAGACGACGAAATGTAGTATTTTTAACATAACTTCGACGATCATCGTTGAGAAATGTCTGGACGTATTATATTATTTATGTATTCTAAGATTATATATAAAGTACAAGTATTTACTTGTTTTAATGATTTTATTTTGATCTTAAGTGTATATTATTTATTTGATTAATTATAAAAAAAAAATATTTCTTTAATCAACTTGTGACTCACTGTAAATCTATCGTTTGTCGGTAAAATTGAATTGCGAACCCGATATACCGGTAATACGTTCAGCATTAATGTATAATTATATGTACCGTCTGCAATGTTTTTGACGACAGAAATAATATTCTTAAAAAATAATTCAGAATATTATTCTGGGGCTATTAAAACTCGATTGTTTATGAATGAATATTCCCATGTGTAGTACACGATTTTCTCGGGCGCGTGCCACTAAATAAACACGGTGTCAGGTAAGGGATACAGGTAATTAAGAGACAGTAATTGCTAATAAAAGATCAAACTTAGCGTTATTATAAACAATAGATATGGCTTGGACATTGAGCACCTCTTAACTAAATATCATCAAAATGTTACTAGCCTCGTTACATAGTTCTTCACCATGCCAAAGAGACCGAGATCCGCCTATGATCGAGATCGGTGTATAAAATATACAAGACAAGGAATTTAAAGCTTAAGCAAAACAGTATAAAAAAGAAAACTAAAATGGTAGTGGTTTGGTTTGTGGAAAAATAAAAATATTAATTACCGATGTCATATTCTAACATATTATTTGAACACAGGTAAATACATTAGAGTATTGATATGAAATTTATAAGAGAAGACAAAAGAGAGATAAAATATCGGCGTAATTTCTCAAAATATTATTTGAAACACATGTTAAAACATTAGAGCATTGATTTGAAATTGTCCACCAATCCTGGCAAAAAGTTGTACCGACTTATAGGCGGGTCAATGGCAAATACCTCCAAAATAACCTCAAAAAGCACAACCGACTTATAGGCGGACCGACTTATAGGCGAGTATATACGGTAAAAAGGTTGTCAACGGTAAAGTTTGTGATGTCACAGAAATAAGAATTGCTGGTAATCTTTATCCAATCTATAATAACTTTTGTTAATTCAGATTTCTCATACAGTATAAATAACTGTGTTCATTTCAAGAGATTTTCAAAATTTGGGCAAAAATATGTGTTTACTGTATATAGTCCTTCACTGTTTTCCATTCGTCATCCCGTATGTAATATTTTGCTGTACAACCTTCAAACCATAAAAAGTAGGCACCTGAGAGACAAGAAAAAACATAACAACAAAACTAAATGCATATTTTTTTCTGATTTTATTTCAGAGATAAACTCATTGAAAATCAATATTTTGAAAGATTAATGTAGAACTAATGCATTGAGTTACATATGCATGAATCACAGCTGATTCAGTTAATCTTGTCATAGATTTGATTGAAATGGCTAGTCCCTGAAACGTTCTACTTTCCCACTTGAAAGCTGAGGGAACAATGAGCGAATGCTGAATGAACGCTTAGTGAAAGGTGTGTGAATGCTGGAGACAAATTGGTGAACAGTTAGTGAACTGTGAGCGAACGTAGAGAACAGGGGAAAAGTGAACTCAAGATGAACAATTTATTCGGAATGTCTTTGATCTTTTCCTTGCATTGTATGTATTCTATTTTATTGTCAGGTACAAAAAAGATAAATAAATCTCATTAAAAAATAAATTTTGAATGCCAACATTACCAGACATTAATATTCAATTTTTTTGTTCTAAACACTTCCAGAAAATAAAAAAAAAAATAAACAAGGTTCCCGCATTTTTCTAAAAAAGATAATACGTGGTGATGCATGTTGTATATTCACTTTATTTACATTTCTTGCAATATTTTCTGCACATACAGTCAAACCTTGTTATCTCAAACTCGATGGGACCAAGAAAAAAACTTCAAGATATCCGAAGGTTCGAGGTATTGAGGGTAAAATTACTTAAAGAAAAAAGGCCTTGGGACTTCCAAATCACTTTGACATATCCATGGTATTTGAGATATCTGTGTTCGAGATATTGAAGTTCAGCTATATATGATATGTTTAAATTAAGCTGTTTAGTCACAGAAAGTTGATCACTCTAAAGCATTGTAACTGATATCAAACTCTGTAGGTACAATAGAGGAAATTATTCTGTAAAATAGACATGTTTATTCTTAATTGGTCTTTAAAACCATTTCAAATGTTGTAGATCATAGAAGAGGAGATAACCAATTTATGAAGTGAATTACAAAGGCGATTGTGATGTGAAATAATAAAAAAAAAAGTCATAATTAGAAATATTTTACATAGGCTGTGGATGTGTCATATTTATGTAAACATGTATTCTAATATTTTCATGCAAGGAAATGTTTCTATTTTTCCTGATGATTTTTTAAGCAGACTACTATCTTTGGACACCCCCTCCCCATGTTTCATATTTGGACAAGATGTTTTCTTTTCATGTTCAAAACTTCTTACAATGTATGTTCATTGATTACAGGGAAGGAATATGCCCTGGCTGACAAGAGATGGGGTGTGTCAGATCCAACCATTGTGTCATTAGAAATTCTGACGGTCTTTATCACTGGGCCTCTGGCTGTTTTCTTAATCTATGCCATACTAAAGAACAAGATTTACCGACACTTCATTCAGATTGTTCTCAGCGTGTGTGAACTTTATGGAGGTAAGATGCCAGGAACTTTCTTCCTTGGTAAGGCCCTACTGATAAATTTTTAAGTATGAATATGAGGGGAAAAAAATCAAAATTCAAGAAAAGAATACCTTATGAGCCTTTTTTACTTACAAAAATAAAAAAAAAAATAATGGGGCTCTCACATCTGCTTTCCTACCTAAATTTTGGGCTAGGGCACTATGGAGTGCCAAGTTTACATAAACAGGCCTCAAAGTGATGTCTAAAATTTAAGCACCAACTGGCTTCTAATGAAAAAAAAAATTTAAAGACATGTAATTTATGCAGCTGAATGTATTTATTCAACTGCATGCACACATTAATTAAATTGTTGAGCTCAAAGATGTAGTGGAATCATTAAAATTTTGACCTTGGTATAAATGTCTTGTTGATATCTGAAGAATGATGTTTATTTATTTTACAAAGACTTTGTTAGAAAAATAAGTTTGCACATCAAATCTGTAAAAGTTGAAAGCAACTATTCAGTTAAAGAGATCATTATATAAACTGTGGATATTTGAATTGAAGATTCCTTTGAGATTATCTCCAAATATCATACTTACCTGTTAGACTCCCTCCCAACCTCCCCACTGTAAAATATATAAGAGAAGGCAACATGGACAACTTAAATGAAGATTGGCATGTGCCAAAGTAGGTGGCAATGTATGGGTTTGGGTAGTGTATGAAATTTGACTCGATGGTGGCATCAAATTATAGGAATAAGTTGCTTTTGTAAAGACTAACAGGTGAATGAAATATGGAGATAATGAACAGTATTCAAATTCAGAATCCATTTAGACAATACAAATCCGGAGCAAAGCAAACACAGACCTCCAAAAACATGAGAGGTAGAATCAGGTGCCATGGAGGAGTGAGCATCCCCTGCCAATTGTGTTCCTTGTCATCATCAGGAAAAGGGAAAAAATCTGTAGACAATTCATTGTGTAAATAATGGCCTAACAATTAGTGTGGAAAATGTCAGTCAGCATTTGACTAAATGATATGTTGGATTTGCTGACAAGGTCATTGTGATGCTCACAGATAATTATCTCAAAGGAAATTTAAAATCTGCCACTGGGTATGTATCAAACATATCAAGTGCATAATTATGATGAACAAGGTACATATACCTCTTCCAAAGTTGTGAATTTCATGGCCCCAGGGTCAGGGGTTTTGGTGTTAGGGTGGGGTTCTCGATTATATTGCATGCCCCCCTTCTCAATGTTTAGGCTGTCTGAAGGCTTAATATGCATTAGAAATATTCTATTTTGTTTCAAGCTAGGTTTTAATTTCTATTTGTAATCTATGTATATATGTACAGTCAATTTGTGAAGAGCGTTCAATCAGGTATTGTAATAAAGTATTTTTGTGATGTCACATGATTTTGTTGATCACTTACTAATTTTCGCATATATTGCACAAAAATTGCATCAGCACAAGTGAAAAACAAAATTATTGTGAACAGTTAGTTACATAAATCAAATAATAGTGTTCTTTTGTATGTATAAAGTGCTGGGGCAAGTTTGAATTTTACTTCTTAAGAAAATACTTCATGAGAAATTCAACTTATCCATATGCAAGGGGGCATCTTGCACTCTTCATCACAATTAAACAAAATAGGATATATTTCATACAATCCCCCAGCAAAATTTAAGTTAGAGGACATACTTCTCTAAAAGATTCATACAGAATGTCCTCGATTTATCCTTATTAATCACTTGTGCCAGTCTAATTTATACATGATTTATAGATTCTTTGTCTACAGATGTTTAATGGGGAGCATTTTACATTTATTTTCAGGTCACCTGAGTTTACTCAGGTGACCTATTGCTATCTGTTTTCGTCCGTCGGAGTGCGTCGTTCATCTTCTGTTGTGCGTTAACATTTGAACATTTTCAACTTCTTCTCTGGAACCACTGAACCAATTTCAACCAAATTTGTCAAATACATGTAGCATCTATGTGTGAAGGGGAGTAAAAATTTTGAAATTCATGACCCTTACCCCCCTGGGGCCTGAGGGGTGGGGCTAAAACATCAAAATTAATGCAATCTTTAAAAATCTTCTTCTTTACTCCTGGACATCAAGCAGGCAAATTGTTGGCATGAATGTAATGAGCATTGAGCCCTCTACATAAATTGTGAAATTCATGGCCCCAGGATCAGGGGTTCTGGTGCTAGGGCAGGGCTCTGTTGAATATATAGTGATAATGCATTATTTCTTTAAAAAGCTTCTTCTCTGCTCTTAGGTATTATGCAAACAAAATAAATACATAGTTATGATGATGAAAGGTGCCTCTTCCAAAATTGTGAATTTCATGGCCCAAGGGTCAGGGGTTCTGGTGTTAGGGCAGGGCTCTGTTGAATATATACGGTAGTGAAAATGCATTATATCTTTAAAAAATCTTCTCTGATCCAGGGCAAACAATCTGAATGCATAGTTATGATGAGTAAGGGTGCCTCTTCTTCGTACTTTGTGAATTTCATGGCCCCTGGTCAGGGGTTCTGGTTTTAGGGTGGGGCTTTAATGATTACATAGTAAAAAAGCAATAATTCTTTGACAATCTTCTCCTTCTCTCCTGGGTATTAAGCCGATGAAGTAAGAGTATACTTATGATATGTAAAGGTGCCTCTTCCAAAATTGTGAAATTCATGGCCCCTGGGTCAGGGGTTGTGGTGTAAGAGTGGGTGTGACCGGTCGGCAGGGGATGCTCATTCCTCCATGGCACCTGATCCCACCTCTGATGTCTTAGAGGTCCGTGTTTGCTCTGCTCCTATTTTGTAATGTTTAATGGACTTTTGAGCTCGAATACTGTTCGTTATCTCCACGTATTTCATATTCTTCATATATTTTTAAATTTTTGTAATCAAAATTCTCATTCTGTGAGCTGCACCCTTATATTTCTTCCCCTCGGTGGGGCCCTTGCTGACTGGTCAGTTTTCTAGTGACAATAAACTATCAGCCCTTTACCAAATTGTTAAAATATCCCAGTGCTAAGCGTCAGGAAAGAAATGTGACCTAGCTAAACGCAGTAGCCCATAATCATGTTCGTCCAAGCATAAAGCATATTTGTGTTTGACTGATATCAACATTGCATGTACATATGACCAATTTGAAATTCTAGGATTTTCAGGGGTTTTTTTTGAAAGGGGGTGTCATATATGTCATGTTCTTATATTTTTTTTAAGGATGGATGACATTTTGTCCAGAATGGTTGACAGGAAGTAAAAATCTCAAGACGGACAATTTCCTGTACATGTGGGTGTACCTGGTCTTCTTTAATGGAATTTGGGTCATAATTCCGATTCTTCTTCTTTGTCAGTCATGGATGGAAATGACAATGACAGGGCAGGTCAAGCAGACGAACGTTGTGGAAAGTGTAACTACTACTTACGTCACTCATAAATACAACACCCGGTCTCATAATAAGAAGAGGGAGTAAACAAAAGTCTATTGACTTAAATTAATTCAGAGTTTTGAGTGAATTTTGAGTTAGACAATAAAATGATATTTTATATTTCTGATTTTGACAGTCAATCAAAACACTGCAAAAATTGTGAAGGTTTGCAATTTAGAACTTTGATGGCCAGTTGCATGCCTGTCATAATGGCTCAGATAAGTACAGTTCAGCCGCTGATCCGCGGATCACGTAAGCTGTGTTTAAACCCTAGCTGAGTCGGGTTTATTTGAGATGTAGTTTGTTGCACTCTATAAAACTGAGTATGGCTTACCTAAGCATGACGTACTCAAATAAAAATGTCGAAATTTAGTAAGTTACCGAATTTTACAGCACTTCAAAATAAAGTTTTTATATAACTGGTTGAATCTCAAAAAGATATAGTTAAAAACAAAGATGTAATAATGGTACATTGTTAATAAAAAAAAATGCAGATGAAGAAAACGCACAATTTAATTCAAACCATGGGATCTATCAACAAAACTAAGTGGGCTAAACTAAACAGAGAACCCTAGAGAACTCAAGCTTTATTTGGTGAATTCAAATAAATTTTACGTACCGGTATTATTGAGTTGATTATCACTCTATTTATCACATTCTATCTATAAAATCACCAATGAGGTTATCTTATGAGTGTTTTCCCCATAGGCGCTTGGTTTCAGGATGGTGTTTTTTGTGTATTATGTATTTTTGTATGTGTGTCTGAAAACACTCAGTAAAAGTACTGAAAGCTGGGTTTAATGTGCTCGAGTATATTGTCTAATCCTAAATTAGTACATATTTGAAAATCTTTCTTTCTGAGCATTGATATTTAACAGGGAGAGTTTGTATGATTATGAATAACAATAACCCATCTACCAATAATTAAAATTAACGGTCCAGAACCCAACGTTAAGACCCCAGGATAGGACTTGGTGATATTTTTAATGAAAATACATTTATACCTTTCTAAACATTAAGCTCACAATGGTTATGCATGGTGACAGTGCACTTTCAGTGGTTTTGCTGATTCATACAGGCACATAGTATCGGAGGAGCTAGGGGTGTCACCATTTTTCAAACAAACTTTTACAATGGACAATGTACATTAAAAGGTTGATTGACTCTTCGCAATCTTTGAATTAGAACTTTCAACTCACTCTTCGTAAGATATACCAGGTATTTGTCACGAGCGACGAACAAATTTACTAAAAGCAAAATGGATGGTCTAATTTTAATTAGATTATACCCATCATTTGATTGTAGCATATTAAAATTACGGTAATTTGGCAATGTAGTAATGAAATGTTTACAATACCAAGGTTTCTGTAAGACATTCCTCTTTCTATTAGAAACTCTCGACAACCAAATAATCCATTATATAATGTTTGTTCATTAAAATGGCACAAAGTTTTATATAAAATACTAGACGTACGTAGTAATAGAAAAAAATCTTTGACTATCAGCAAACTCCTCAAACTTGCCGTTATATGCAGAGAGAGAGAGAGAATCAATTCGGACAAATGACTTGAAAGATGTTCTTAAAAGAATTCTCTTTGCTTGCACGGCCTCTGTCTTTAAAATTAATTTATATTACTCTTTATTTTATTTTTTTTTCGTTAAACACGTCAGTTATGCAGTAAAAGAAATTCAGATCTGTGCCAAAAGTGAAGATAGTTTTATTTTTTCTCTATATATTTTATTGGAAACCACATATCGTTAAATCGCTGGCAAATGGTCATTTTTTGACCAATTTCATTATTTATTTCAGTACTTAAACCAGAAAATGTGTAGTTATCTTTTTCTAAAAGATCATTACATATTTAACTTCTAGATAAAGAGAGTTCATCATTTACGTCAGTTCTAAAATTCAAGATCATTGTTGACTATATAATTTATTGCGCGCATATGACTTAAATTTTCATGTCACACTTAAATTATAATATTTTTAAAATATCAATGCTGATCAGATAAAAAGTATTGTTTTTATCAAACATAACAATTTCTTGGATCATCAAAAAAATGTGATAAAATTTGTCAAGAAATGTTGTCATTCCAGTGATTTTACAAAATCTTTTGCAATGAAATACATAGAGAAAAAATAAAATTATCTTCAAAATTGGCACACATCTGTACATGCATATTTTCTTTTTATACTACATTGTATATGTTTTATGTGCGCTCACATCATGTTATACCATAGGATTTGCTCCTCAAGACGAAATTTCAAAACAAAGATGTCTTCTGCATCAATGTTTATTTTAGAGGAATTCAGCTTTTTAGGAATACCGAGTAATTCATTTCTTGAACATAACTGTATATTTTTCACTGTTTTACAGCCATATAATGAATTTTAAAATTAAAACTTGCCCCATTAAAAAAAAATTCTTTTATCGCTGATGAGAACACCCCCCCCCCCTCCGGTTTCCGTCTTAGATTGACTGGGGACTTCACTTGTCCAAGACCCCTGGAAAAATAATTTCCCTTCTCCCAACTCGAAAACCTGGATCTGCGCCTGTTTTGAATTTGTTTACATGTCGTAGGCTCTGATTTTAATGTATATTTCTGAAATCTACTGGAATCTGTTTCGCGTCTTTTGAACGTCTGCTTCTCTTTCTGTGAGCTGTAAACGAAATGGAAAAGTCAAGTTCTTGTTCAAGCAAAAAAAAAGAAAGCCAAACTGGACAGATGATGAGCTTCAAATAACTCTTTTCAAGCATTCGAGAAAACCATAACATCTTATTGGCGAAATTTTCATCTACAGTAACTTACGAAAAAAAGAAAGCAATATGGGAAAAAATAACAAAACAGTAAGTGCTTTTGAGTTTATTTGCTATATATCTCCCTTTTTGCATAAATGTTTCAAGAATATATTAGAGAAAAAATACTGTGAAGTCACAAATTTTCGTAAGAAGGGGGGAGTGGGGGTAATTTTTGTTCAGTTTGTACATGTGTATATATTTTAAACACGAATTCACGTAAAATTTAAAATGTATAACAACGCTACGAAATCTAATGCCAACAAACAAAAATACCTTTCCCCTCAAAACACAAGAGAAAATATGTCATTTTACAATATACTTAAGGTTTCGATTTATAAAAATTCAAATACCGTACGTAAATGGAGGAAAGTCAAAACCTTATATAAGAGATAGTGACAAAATAAATCCTTAATAAACATTTTGTTAGAAACGGAAGTTTGTAAGTAAATATTGTATACTGAGTCACTGGGTAATTTTGCTACTCCAACCCATCCCCTCAAGAAATGGAGATTTAAAATATGCATCCTTTTATCAAACAGAAAAACACACATAATAAACCTTTTTTCCACAGAATTAATTCCGCCTCAGTTACATGCTGTGAAAGAGAAGTTGAAGAAATCAAAAAAAAATGGAAAGACGCTAGGGCAAGTGTTAAGAAGAAGGAAGCCCAACGGAAACGTCAGACGAAGACAACTGGTGGAGGCCCACCGCCTGAAGTATTTTTCAAACCATGGGAACTTGATGTACGATATACTAGTATTGACTGATATACCTCTCTTCCTAAGTATTCTTTAATATCAGTTTTGTAAAAATAATAATAATAATAATAATTTGCATTAATTATTAATAGGTATTATCAATGATCCCTGATGAGTTAATCGAAGGAATAGAAGGCGGAACTGACACTGGAAGAGCTCCAAAAACAGGTACACTACAAAGTTAGTGTTCATAATATATATGCATTTTTAAATAACAATAATAATATTAACAATAATAATAATGAATATCTGGTTGAATCTTTTTAAAATATTTTATATTGACGTTTATATTATTTACATTGATAACTTTTTTTTTCTTAAAATTGTTTTTGATCTACATATAGCATCTCTCTCAAGTTCGGAAGACTCGACTAGTCTGGATGCACAATTATCATCGTTTATAGGTAGTGTCTTTCTGACATAATTTCTATTTATCGATAGAATTATGCATTATGTCGTAGACATAATGCATAATTTTATTGATAAATAGAAATTATGTCAGAAAGACAGTAGGATAAATAAATTTCTAAGTAAGATAATTATCATCAAATAATTTATAAGAATAATGCAATAAGGTTAATAAATTTAAAACAGAAATGTAATTTAAATAACAATACCCCCCCCCCTCGGTATATTTCATATTTATCATAAATATAATTAGGCAAACATAGATTAGAATGTCGTTATTGTATTCTTTAGTCAAAGAAGTCGAGCTCCCTGCGGAAGCTGAGTATAGTAATATACATGTACAAGTAAACGTACGAAAGGAATCAAACGTAGAAGAGGAACCAAAGGTAAGAGAGGAGCCCACAGTACCTACCAAGAAACGAGCCAGAGTGGGTAAGAAAGATATGATATATATATATATATATATATATATATATATATATATATATATATATATATATATATATATATAATACCTCTACTGTTATTACTCTATATAAAATTAATATCATAAAACTGTCTATTTCCCTGAGAAGATACTATTTCCCTCATCGGAGGATTACTCCCTGAAAAATCAGAGCTACTCCCTGGGACTACTCCCTCATGAATATTTATCAATAATTTAAACCAATTAAAATGAACAGTGGGCGGAGCGTTCAAGGAATCTCGAGTCTATGACGTATTGTTATTAGCGAAGTAACTATGACGTCAAAACATTTCGACATGGATGTCAAAATCATACTGGAATTCTAACAAAATGGAGAAAATGATTATCCTTAGAAATGTCAGTCAAATTATTTAAATTTTGAAAGACTTATTTCTTCGGTATTGATGCATAAGATATCTTACAATATTTTGAATCACATATGCATTTGAGATTATTTAAGTACCTCTTTTTAAGAAATAAGGTATCATTTTTAAACATCTATCGGGATATAAATACGGGTTGGTCACGAGATCAAATTCCATAAAGCCCGAAGGGCTTTATGGTAAATTTGATCTCGTACCAACCCGTATTTATAGCCCGATAGATGTTTAAAAATGATACCTTATTACTTATATTTACATTTGTGACTTATTCATATTTTATATTTGCCTAATTATAATCTTTAAC